ATGTAAAGATTTCAAGGTTTCTCAAATAATTATTAGAAATAAACTAATGCGAAATTCATATAAATGCCTTTGTTCACATCATATCGGTAAAATTTCAGCTGAAGCCAACCAAAGGTAGGAAGCATTTAATTTTGTTTGTCTTAGATTTGTGTGTTATAATTTAGCCTGGATACAAGGAAATATATCTGCCAACATAAATTCTATGAAATGGCTTTACTATATGAAATTTCTTAGTACTTGGTAATGGTTAAAGAGTGACTTGAAATATAATTTAAATTAATAAATGTTGAGCGGATATAACAATGTTATACTTTCGTTAACTTCGGAACAGTGAATAGTGCGAAAAGAGTTCGATAGCTGCTAAGTTTAGTTGATATTAAACTAAGAAACCTACTGTGACTTCTGCAGCGTTACTAAGAAAACAGGTTGGTTTAGTTTAAATAATTACACTTTTTTAACTGGTTCAGTATAAATAATAATTTCCATTTGTATAGGCTGGTTTCTTAGCCTTAGCAATAAGTGTTATTCTATTAATTTTAGTATTACTAATTTACTATTATATCTTTGAAAGGCTCCGTAGGATGTTTTCAATGTTTTACTTTTAGATTGTTTTGATATTAACTCACTTTACTTACGTACTAATGTACATATTACCTTTGTAAATCTGGGCCTTCAATATATATTTTAGTAAACTCTATATTATAGACAGGTGTGCCTATAGAGATTGAACCAGCACTTGCACTCGTATGGACATTGAATCATAGAGTAATGAATTTTTATATGAAAACATTTTTTTTCAGTCTCTCTCTTCTTGAAAATATCCCTACAGTTAGTAGGTATAACTAATCTCTATGGCTACACCTTCACAGGCAGTATAGGTTAGTCAAGTTAGGTTAAGTATTAGAGGTGGCCGGAATCAACAGAAGTACTGATCAGGTGGATAATCTATTACGTTTTCCCTTATGTTAACATTTATTAACGATAATTGTTCTAGGATGTTTCTGAATACAAGGTTCTTATTTTATTATAACAGAACAAAATGTATATTTCCGGAGTCATATTTTATTTTTGGTAGTAGCACTAGAATATATTTTGGGAAGCAGCAGAACTATTCAGCAGAACTATTATACCCCGCATGTGTTTTTTTATTTGTAAATATAAATTACTCTGATCTCTTGGAAAGTTATGTAGTATCCCTAAAAGCTAGGAAGTCTTTGGAAAATACTATGTTTCTTTGTGACTTTGTTTACTAAACTGGCATTAGAAGGGTTAAATATGTAGAAACGATTCCGCCCACCTCTAACCACATTTTTCCCGTGTGGAGTTGCTAGTCTCCTATCGGGCGCCTCCCCAGGTGGCGGATAGGGGAAGGCTCGTCAAGACATGGCGGGTACTGGGAATGGACCCCCAGGGTGGACCAAAACTAGCACAGTGTAGATCGTGTCAATACATTGGCCAGTGGGATGCGTGTGTGCGAATTAACACTTCTTCCACCGTCACTTTGTTATTTTTCACATCTTTCTCATCAATTAATTACCTATAAATAAATATACACTAGCGTATAGTGTGATTCTCAATGTTGATGGGAACCTTTCCATCATTCAACCCACACACGCCATCCTAATTGACACGATCTATACAATTTTGTTTCAATTTTAAACTCGTGAAACCAAACATAACAGGAATAATTTTGTAAACATTTATTTACTTAGTTTAGTTGTTAGTTTATTTACTGTGTCAGTAAAGCCGTAATGAGCGAATTGGTTGGTAGCCGACTCAGAAGAATATATACATGGTATAAACAAAGTTATTTTATGATAAAACTAGCCACCACACCCGTGCTTTGCAAGGGGAAGAGAACGCTTAAGACAATAATTTTATTATTATTCCATAAATCGGCTGTATGTAGATAAACTTTTTAGTAATACACTAAAAGTATTAACTTTAAAATATTAACTGGCTATTTTCGTTTTCCAGACATTATTTTTTTGGGAAATAAACCATACAAATACAATAGGTTTTTATAAACGTTTTGGAAAAAATAAATTCAATAAGTTAATGAATTACGGACTAAAAAAAACTCCTTATTTACACACTATCAAAATTTATTTGTTAAATTAAAACAGAAACATAACTGTAAACAATCCTATTTTGACAGTTACAATTTTGTTTCACAGCTGCTTGGTTGAAGTTAGCAACTGTTGTCATAAATTTAGACAATTAATAGTGCTGCACCCTGTTGGTACATCTTGTAAGATTTTAATGCTATTAATCACCACAGAATCAAATTGTTTAGTCGAAACATCTGTTAAGATTATTTATTTCCATTTAAATATGAGTACTCATAAGGTTAACATAGGAAACTCCAGAGCCACTGGAGTGGAGCCCTTTTGACGGATCTCCACCAAACCTCACACATACTATCCTTGAATAATGATTAATAATGCCTGAAAGTTTTATTACAATCTTTCGAGCGGTATCCGGACTCGTAACGTTCAAATATATTTACATACAAACTTCCTATTTTATGAACATAGATATATTTTATATTGAATTGCAACGAACGGTGTTTTTGGGCACTGGGGATATCAGAACGACAAAGTAAATCGGTGTCGGGTCTAGGTCTTACCATGATACTTACAGTAATAGTTATTCTCTATGAGAAATCCGCTAAAATGAACAGTGAACACTGTTACCTTTTTAAGTGTACAGATACATACCTTATTAACAATAAAACACAAGAATGGACAGCCAGAGTGCGTGTAAAGTCTTGTGGCTATCAGCAGAAGATAAGGCCTTCTGTAGCACGTCACTCGTGGGGACTAATATAGCCAAAGCACGGCAAAAACTCACCTCAAAACTTTGACTTTCTTCTAATGTTTTATACGTAATGCATTTTAGTTTAGAGTTTTTAAAACTATGCTTCTACAATATTTAGTACCAGGGTTCTGAGCCTTGCTCGGTAGTGGTTAAATGTTGGTTTAATAATTAAAATAATATGAAGCATATACATTTTATAATTTACGAAATTAATTTGTGACAAGCCTTAAACATTTAATCGGTGAATGATTCTGCAATGTAAAAATATGCATTTATACGAAATTGACCCAACATATTTGAAATTACGTTTCAGTGTTACTCTAGTAATTTAAAACCGTTGTTAATTGTTTAAGCTCATTGAACCTAGCCGTTAAAAATTACAAAATAAACAAAATCATATTAGTTTCCAAATACCCTTTTTTTTGTAATGTAACCCAATGTCTTTGATTGCGACGTTTTTCGATCTTGTGCCATTACTTCAAAAGAAGTTTAACTTCTAATCTTTCATTGGATTTAGGTATAATATTTTTATTACAATTAAATTCCTAGGTACAACCAATTTACTAGGAAAGATTTAACAGTCATCAGTTTGTGCTCAAAACGTAGATATAATGCTATCATATTTACAAAATAAATTAAACCTTTTTTTATTCACACCAACCCTACAAACAATCACACATACCTCATAATAGAGTATAGGATTCAGTTTAATGAGTTACTTAATTAGACTTTTTGATACAGTACAGGGAATTTAATAAAGTTAGTTTTTTTATGTAAATAGCTTAGTACGAAATAAATAAATTTGCCAAATGTGATAAAAATACATCCAAAAACGAGCAAACTACACATCACTTTACCTTTTCCCATAAGAATAAGAAGTGAGTTTTAAATTCACAGTTTCTTCCAAGAGCGCTCAAATATGCCGTAAGATGCCAAGACCTTAAATAAATAACGCACGAAACCAAAGAAATGAAATAATATTGCCAGTCAGCTGATTCAATCAGCTGGTACAGTGTCTCTCTACGGTCCAGCTGTACAACCTGTAGTGGCGTGTATCTTTGTATTGTTGTGTGACTGTGTTAACAGAACTGTTTGATAGTTTACATTGTTGCTTGACTAGTTTTAGTTCGGTTAGTAATAATATGGACTTGTTCGTGTTGTGTCAGGTTACTTCGGAAATATTATTTAAATCTAATTGGAGACGGCGAATACAAAAAGCTTGGTTATGTATACGTTTAATCGCAGGGATTAATTATAACGATAGTTAAAGAAATGTTCTAGACTGCTATTAATTTTGTTTGGCTATTTATACAATAACCGTATTGTTACTAAACCAATACCTGTATAATTATATTCAAAGTCAGCAGTTATAACACATTAGGAAATGCATGTCGATAGTTTATTAATTAAGATTGCATTTTGAGTAAGGTTAATTTGAATTAGTGTTGTTGATGATGGATATTTTTCGATTGGAAATGTTTTTTCTACTCTATCATTGTGTTGTATAGTTTTCTGCTTTCAAATTACTGCCTAAAGTATTGATATACAATGTAGTGATGTTGTGTATTTTGGAAGATTAATTTATCTCCTGTGTATAAATGATAGAACTTCTCTCAGCTTAATGTGAACATTGTGTACGAGTCAAGATTTTGTTGTGACTGACTTAAAAACTAACCATTTAATGATGCAGATAAACCGTTTCTGACATGTACTCATGGAAATAACGTTTACTAATTGTGAAGTATTATCTAAAACCGTATCTTTTACAGAAGAGGGCCGCTACTTTTAACCTGTAAGAATAATCACAGTTTAGGTTAGGTTAGGTTAGTTTACAGCTTTACTCACAGGTTTTTGCTATTTACTGAACAGAAATAGACACAAAAACTCAAAATTTACCTTACCTAAACTGTTTAAATAGTTTAAATAGTGCGGCCCTCTTCTGAAACCCACCGTGTACTCTTACATTTTTTCAAAAGTTTGGGAAAATCTTACCAAGCATAAGAGGTAACCTTTATCCCAAATTATTGCCGAATTATGTCATCACTACACTGAACCATCGTAGTTCCTAATTATCTGAAATTCATGGCAAGGCCCTTAAAATAATTTATTTTAATTAGGTACTCTTTACATTTTGGTCATAAGGATAAAATAATACACAATAAATATAATAAATAGTTTCGTTTATGTCACGCTCATATATATATTTTTACATCAATAAACTATAAATATTGACCAAACCAACGTTTAAGCCCGATATCTCTTATTAAAAAGATTACTTAATTAAAATGGGCGCCTAATTACATACTTCAGCCATGGCAGCAAAATTGGCCACTTAAAATATGGTTATAAAAGTCAAACGGTAAATCAATCACAATAGTCATAAACTTGTAATGACGAAATATTCAAGATTACTAGCTATCGAGTTAAAGAAGTAAACGAAAACACTTAAGTGTTTTATTATAACTAACATAAACAACTTTTCAAACAAAATTACTAAACTATATAACTGCAATATATAGGGCTTTACACAAAACATGTCTAAAGTACAAATACTCTCTACAAATCTATATACAATTTACATAGTTTACTGTATACACACAGATTTGTCTTTGGTCCAGTAGGGTAAATATACAAAATTATTACTTGTATAAAAAAAGTATTAATGACCTATAATACTGTTAAATAATTATTCAATTAAATGCACTTGTAATAAATCGTAGCAGTCAAATTATTGTGCACGTAGGTATTACATTTGTATAAAATATTACAAAATGTAATAAACTTAAATAGGAAGAACTTCAACAACAAATACATGATGGTCAGCCAATACTTTTTTATATAATTAGATTTTACCAAGGAAAGTTAACAAAGTTATTTTTAAATATTTCCTTAAATAATTTGAAAAATCTGTGTGTACTCAGTTAAAGATATTTTCTGGTATAGAGTGCTTTCACATAGGCCAAGTGAATTATATGAAATCATCACGGATAAAATTGTTTTTATTTATCGTTTACGTTATAATATTAACAACATAATTCTTCATTACTGTTTAGAATATGCCGCTTTGTAACAAACCACAAAGTAATCTAAATTCACTCAACATTTTCGTTATTAAGTACTAAAGTTGAAAACGGTAATCGTGTAGATATTATTTACAGATTCCATAAAAGTGTTAAGAGTCTAAAGTAAGAGTTTAAGGCTTACTCAACAAAGATAAATCAAACAACATATCCTTATTTAAATTTGTAAATTTTGAAGATTTAAAAGCTTATGTTTATTTGTTGAAACTGAAAGTATATAAGTATTTAAATTATAAATTAAGGCTTTACATTGATTTTATTTTAAGAGCTTTATGGATACCTTAGTTGACAAGATAAATTATAAGGCCATTTCCTTGCTTTCGGTTATATTCATGAAATCATATTATACAAACAGTATAAGGACTATTTGGAAGTAATTAAAAGAATCTTGTATAATACTGTACGGGGAATTCGCTTTAGGACTTAAATATAAATTTAAAAATTTAATTTGGAAAATCAACCAAAAATGTTATACACAAATTTTACTCAGAGAGAATTTAATTTAACGATTAATTTTTAATCTAGCCTCAACAAGGGGGATGGAATGTTAATTTCATGGTAGCACATCACTTATGAGAGTTAAGGATGAATAGTTTAACTTTACATTATTTTGATGTGTACCAATTTCGAAATAACTGTACATCCTCAAAATGCTTGAAGTAGGGGGTTTAGAATTTAAATACTTAAGTGGGGATCTAGATATTTTTGTGTTTTATTTCGTAATCTAAGTAGGCAATGCAAGATCTTTAACCTATAAAAATGCAAAATACTGCTTGAATATCTGTTTTTAATGTAGAATAATACTATGGCTCATACTAGCATTGTTGCATGATGCATTGTTATACATGAAAGTAAAAAAGTCAAAACAAATGTAAATAGATAAATGATGGTGCAATGCTCTAAATATTATGCACTTTATTAACATGCTAAATGCTGGAGTACTTAAGCCTCGTTGGCCTCTTAAACTTAAAACTATAGGAGTCATAAAACTTCATAAGCCCTTATCAAACTTATATAATGCTTTAAACCTTAAAAAGTTTCACATTCCACTTAATTATTACAAATCTATTTGGCCTTAGCTAACAAATTCAGTTGTAATACAAAACTATGAAATCAAGGTATGTATCCCGGTTGGTGATTTAGTAATTTTGTATCTAGGTTATATTATGCTAAACAATTTTATGCTTCAATTTGACAGCAACAACTTTTACAGTAACAATTAATTTGACCAACAGAATAACTTCGAAAAAGATTAAATTAGTTGAATTTAACTGAACATATGCGCTGTTGAATTTTACTTGAAGTAATAATCGTGCTCACAATATTTCCCTACAACGACCACATATGAAAACGTGTCAACAACTGTTGAAAGCAGTGAAAAAAATGGCATAACTCGTTTGGTTCGGGACAGACAACACTTTTACTCTAACAACCATACATACAACAAGTCTATCGCTATCGCTCACTTACAACAAAAGAAAAACATAAAACGTACAAATGGAAAACAGTCATTGCGAATGTACACTTGACATTGGTAAACACTTATCGACCTGAGCCATGCAATCCAACCATGACATACTAAAGCAACATGGTGTACAACGGACGTACAGTTGATAGGAAGGTGTAACGGCTTTCAAATGAGTATTTATACATAATTAGTTAGAGATGTGTTACGGAATTTTCTCAAACGATACCATACTAAACATTATTTCTGTTAACACAAATTTTCATGAAACGCTAAACGCCCAATTGTTTAATTGATATATCATTTTGTATTTTTGTTTAGTAATTGCTATTTAGCTTACATTTGTAGATGGCGTTGCCTTATTTACAGGTGTTGGTTACGAAAATTTTAAAACACTTCTTGTATTGTTAAAAAACACTTTACTAGTTGACCAAATTGGTACATATTGATAGAATGACTTTGTACAATGCTCTCAAAAAGATAGTGTTAAAAGATGAAAATCTACTTTCCAATTTGCCATAATATTAATATTATGTCAAATAAAGTAAGTTGAGGCTGCACGTTACGAGCTTATGCCAGCTCATCTTTAGCAACATTCGATAATATTTAACATACATCACATCGAGCGATGCTTGTCAGACAGAGTTACACACGCGAATAAATGGCAAATAGGCAAGTAGATCTTCATCTTATAATTGAACAAAGGAGTCAAGGCTGTTCAATTAAATATATGGTGTATTTAACCACAAATCGTTGATATATACATTTTAAATTTGAATAGTAATACAACTAGACACTCCATCCCTATGTTGAAACTGTCGCCAGTTCTTTAAATAAAAAACGTTGAAAGAAGTTGAATTGGGCCACCGACAGATTGTGTGGAGGTAAGATACTTAATTATGTCAATTATGAAGACTTTTGGTCTAAGTCAAACTGGTGACTTAACTTACATGCTAAAGCATCTTATGTGTTATTTAAAATATCTCCACAACGAAAAATATAAGATAGAAAACTGAATTTTGACTCTAACACACTTTATGAATGGCTAATTGAACTTTAATCTTTTTAAATGAAAAATAGGTGACATCAGGCCCGTACAGATGGGATGTCTGCTTCAGTATCCGAAACTCAATGGTTTTACACTCTCAACCTTTACCAATCTACCCTATGATAATGGTTATCAGAAATGAAATGAACGAGGTACAAATTTCCGATCCGACTCGGTATCTCCATCTTCAGTCTGAATACCGTCTACTGATGACCTTGACTTTGACCTCAGCTGTTATCACTGCCCCTAGCTGCCTCCAGTGTAACCCTTCTCCAATGTCTCTATGATTAGTTTTATCGTGATCTTGTATATGTTCTCTACGTTGTCTGTATATCGGTCACCGAGTGTCATCTTTACAGCTTCTAAGAACGGCTTCTCTATTTTCTGTAACACATTTTAAAGATAAAGTTGAGAATTATAATTAATTAATAAGGCTATAATTGACTACATAAGCATTGAACGTGGTTGTGCTATAAATGGGTAAAATTGAATATGCATAACTACTCTATACCTTTATACTTGTACTGTAAATGGTTACAGGATGGTAAATATTGCAAGTATTCACACCGTATGACCACTTCCAATCCAGAACTGATAGTAAAATTGATGTTTTTTAATTTATTTGGTCAAACAAAGAAGAATAAGAAAGATTTTCGCGTTTTTTTATACGTTCATGAAGAAGATTCCATGAAATTTATTTTCACACCGAGAGTGGATGGACGATTTAAACAAGTTAATCAATGACATAGTTTGTTTTACATTGAGGCCGATCAAAAATTCTATAGAATATTTTTCAACATGCTATAATAAATACTAATGTTTTTATTACTTCTTACCAAACCACAAGAATCAAGATTTTACCAAACCAATATGCCTGTTTAATTATAATATATCAATTTCAGAATATTTTTATAATATTATAAATATAATTTTAAGTTTAATATTTTTTAAGTTTGTTAATTGATACACTTCATACTAACCCAGAAGTACTCTGGTTTAAACCCGGGGATCTTTCTATGCGAGGCGCCGATCTGGTGGAGGTACTCGAAGAATGAGTCGAGGTCGTCCAACTCCTTGATACCTTCATCCAGGGTAGACATGACCTGTAATATCAACCAAGTAAATAAACCAGCGTTAAAAATTAATTAAATATATTATTGGCTTACTCAAACAAACTTAGGCAATTTTACTTTTGTTATTTCAACGGATTTTCAATCTACAGATTCATTAGGACAACCTAACTGTTCAGATAGAAACTTGCTCTACATTACTATATATTTTACTACTTTCATCCATGTATATTCATGCCGATTTAAAACTGTTGCAATGACCAGATGTTTCCAATCTGTTGTCCATCACGTCAAAATACACACGTGGAACATCCAGTGTGTTTGATTGTTTGTAAACTATGCTTAAACTGCTATTAACAGCTTAAAGATATTCCCTGAATTTAAACATTTTAATATTCGTGAGTGTTGCATTTTATAGTAACAACAATGTAACTAGGCGAACATTTCCTCTATAAGACTACGAATGGTTTTCAGATTGAAATTTTTAAATTATTATATTTGTAGTTATTGCTTGAGGTTAGGTTAGGTTGTGGGTTGTGGTAGAGTCGAGACATGACCTAATTTTGTGCATTGTTGTATAATAGTTTTATACTTGTAGTCGTATGATGGAAAATATTCTCAATTATGAAGTTTGATATGAAAACCGATCCCTGAAAAAAATGGTTTTAGCTATAAACTCTTATTTACATTTTAACCGATCTTTTAACTTGACTAACCCGGATGGCTTAATACTGGAATTCCTTTCAATTTAATTACATTCTAGAAAAAGGTTATTTTCTTACTTATAAGATTGCAAAAGATTGGGCTTATTAGAACATAGAAGCCAGCTGTAAACACTTAACAGTGTTTAGAAATCAATGGAGAGTGGTTATAGTTTTCTGAGGGGTTTTTGTGTTATAACTATCCAAAATTTTTCCAAACCTTGGTTGCGTGTTCCTGTAGCTCCATAGAGTTAGCCTGGGCGTCGCGCGTTTTGAGTTCTCGAAACTTCGTGAACAGTGACAAAAGTTCCTCGTGCTCTTCAAACAATCTGGAACAATAAAAGGAAATTTGAAACTTTGAACACTACAAAATAATATCCTCTAGCATTTGAAGCATTTCAACACGTTGTCCTGTAAAGTTTGGCATTTTTTAAATATGGATAACGTAGAATAAAAGTCTTCATGTACTTGTTGAGCACGAATTATGTTTTAAAAGGACTAATGCAGATTCATTTTAATTTTCAAGAGAGTTGTTTTGACTTAAATACATAAAGTAATCTTTAGTTGTGACTTTAGCAACCAAGTATTTTAATTAAGATATTTAAACAATAAGACTGTTTTTGTGGTTCTGGAAAACATGTCTCGGTGTTAAAACAAAGCCTATCATAGACATAGACAGTTTTCGAGGTTTTGAACAATCTAGAAACTATTTGTACTATTTTAACACGATAACTTATGATGTTTGTAATAACATCATATTTGTGATGTATTTGTGGAAGCAGAACATGAATTTGATCAAATTAATCATAAAATGGCATCTTAAACCGTACAACGGAGATAAACGAATCCCATCAACAATTGTTTTAGAATTAATCTTTACCCTATCAATAATGCGTTACGCTCAGAAAATGACGTAATATGCAACACTAGTAAATTGACGAACCATGCAAAATCATCTCTTCAGCTTTAAGGACAACTATTCTATTAAAGTCAGTCTGAAACAATATTTCTCTGCGCAGAAATTCATTTTCTTTAACGATATAAAAGTGTGCCACAGTACTGGGAACGCACAGTCTTGTTTTAACAGTCAATATTGTCGTATGTTTAATTGAAAGCTGTATTGATTAGCGAGTTAAAAGCCCTAGATAAGGTTGAATAATCATCAACGCATTAAAGCTCATTTGCACGCAAGAGTACAAATCGATACTGGGTTGGTGCGGGAAAACACGGTTATGAAATCATTTGATCAGCAGGTAACTGTTTAGAATAGGTTAATTAACTAATATTTTTACCACACAAGCACGCAGACATCACTTTGTAAACCACATTTTAGGTTGAGTGACACCCAAAACTGATATTTCCATCTAAACATCAAACTCGAAAGTTTTGACGAAATAATTATTTTCTTTGTAATATGAACAGGAGGAGAAAGTAACATGTAATGCCATTTATTTTAAGTCGATTTTAATTTGAACCGAACCTTAAACCTATATCTGTAGCTGAAGTTAAAATAAACACGTTTATCCTAGTTGAAATGAAAACTGAAATGAACTTGGTGTAGAACAAACAATTCTGAGTGGAATTATCAAAGTGTGTTGAGACACAGACTGTAAGGGTGTATCAGCCACATTGTTCCTTGGATATGAGGGTTGCTTTAACACTTACATGCGGAATTCAATTTGCTCTCAACAACGAAACTTAGAAGAGAGAATTCTCTTCATCATGGTTTAGCACGTGATATTAATTTTTATAATTTAAGATTTCTGAACGCATTTTATCGGGTTTCAACATTTTGTTACCTTTAATATTTTTCATTTCAACCGGTTCAAATGGTAAAAAATATGGTTTAAAATGAAAATGTTGGATTTATTTAATACATAGCTCTTATTAAAATACAAACATATTATGTAATAAGTGTTATGGGACAAAGATGACGGTATTTTTTTGTTATTATCATGGTTGTATATAATGCGTAAAAGATGGGTGTTTTATAATGTTACTAGCTGGCCCGTCAGACGTAGTCCGGTCCTAATGTGGTTTTATGTCAAATGCTCGTTCATTTTCAAGATGAACTCGTTCGCATCGCTCAATCACGTCCTGGTTGAAGTTCGTTTAGGTTGGAGCTCGTTCGCTGCGCTCACTTGCCTTCAGGTTTAGCTCGTTTGCTACGCTAACTCGCCTCCAGGTTGAAGTTCGTTCGCTACGCACACTCACCTTTTGTTTGCAAATTAGCTGCTGTCATAAATACAGGGTTAGTAAATACCCCCGCCGCAGCAAACCTGCCGACTAAGCGAATTTCCATTTGTCTGAATTGATTTTCAATTAAATATATTTTAATAACATTAGGTTTAACGAGTACCTAGGTTTGCTGCTACAAGGAAACTAATAAAGTGTGTTTTTGAGTAAAATATTGATAGCTTAGTACAAAATAAATAAATTTGCCAAGTTTGATCAAAATGTATCCATAAACAAGCAAACTACAACATTTGACAATATTCTCCATAAGAATAACATGGGAATTTTAAATTTACAATTTTTTTAATTTTCTCCGTTACTAATAATCGAACAAAAATACTTTTATATACTAAATTATTTGTTTTTTTAAGCTCTTTAAAAAGGTCTAAAGAGAAATCGGGAAATTTTGTGTTTTGAGGGTCAAAAGTGAGAAAACCCAATTTTTACCCCATAAAACCCCCCGTAAAGCCCCGTTCCCATGGTCCGATCGTGCTGGTTCGCGAACTCATTCAAGTTTATCCCGCTTTACACCTTTAAACCAAGTTTCATCAAAATCGGACAAAAATTACTCAAGTTATCGCGTTCACGGACGTATATATATATATAAGTCTATATATATATATATATACATACATATATAAAAATTTGAACGAATGGTGTTTTTGTCCTCTGGGGACATCAAAATGAAAAAGTAAATCGGTCCCGGGTCTAGGTCTTACCGTGCCACCTACGGTAATAGCTACTTCCCTATAGGGAAATTCGCTAAAAGTGTGGAGAACCCCTGTTATTTTTTTAACGGCCCTTACTAGAAAAACTAAACTCGGCACACCATTATGGCATGTTATGAAGTACTTTTTGGGCATAACCGCCACTTGGTGTTCATCCCCAAAATGGGGGATTTTGGGGAAAACTAAAAAATTTCAAATACAAAGACCCATCGAGTGACCCCTCATTTTGAAGGTCCTGGTAAAAGAAAACCAACAACGCAAACTAGAGGTCTCTATCTCAGTTCAGTACAAAATGGCAGCCGATTGAAATTCTCATAAGTTCCCAAACCCAAAATGGGGGATTTTGGGGGAAACTCAAATTTTTTTAATTATAAGCCCCATTGAGTGACCCCTCATTTTGAAGGTCATAATAAAAGAAAACTAACAACACAAATTATAGGTCTCTATCTTAACACAGTAAAATATGGCAGCCAGTTCAATATAAAATTGCAAGTTATTTCCGATTTTAAAGATTTCAATCACCTTCCATTTTTTACTGAATTGAGATAGAAACCTCTAGTTTGCGTTGTTAGTTTTCTTTTACCAGGACCTTCAAAATGAGGGGTCACTTGATGGGGCTTATCATTAAAAACTTTTGAGTTTCCCCCAAAATCCCCCATTTTGGGTTTGGTAAGCAAGTGGCTATTAGGCTTAAAAAGTACTTCATAACATGCCAAAAAGGTGTGTAGAGTTTAGTTTTCCTAGTGTGAGCCGCTACAAAATTTACAGGGGGTCTCCAGACTTGGAAAGCTGCAAGTTAAATTCAACTTCTGAGAATTTCAATTGGCTGCCATTTTATACTGGATTGAGATAAAGACCTCTAGTTTGCGTTTTTTGTTTTCTTTTACCTGGACCTTCAAAATGAGGGGTCACTCGATAGGTCTTTGTATTTGAAATATTTTAGTTTCCCCCAAAATCCCCCATTTTGGGGATGTACACCAAGTGACGGTTATGCCCAAAAAGTACTTCATAACATGCCATAAAGGTGTGCCGAGTTTAGTTTTTCTAGTATGGGCCGTTAAAAAAATAACAGGGGGTCTCCACACTTTTTACTAACCCTGTATAATAAAAATAGTGCTGCACCCTGTTGGTAAACCTATTAACTTTTTAATGCTATGTAACATCACAGAATCAAATTGTTTAGTTGAACCAGCTGTTAAGATTCTTTAATTCCATTTAAATATAAGTACTCATAAGGTTAACATGGGAAACTCCAGAGCCTCTGGGGCGGAGCCCTTTTGACGGATCTGCACCAAACTTCACACAAACCATCCTTGAATAATACTTAATAATGCCTGAAAGTTTCATTACAATCTGTCGAGTGGTTTCGGAGGCCATAACGTTCAAATATATATATATATATATATATATATATATATATGTATATATATATATACATACATACAAACTTCCTCTTTTATAAATATAGATAAAACAAAACATTTTGTAACGAAAAACAACATAATGTTTTATACTTTAAATGATCTTACTTGTAACATGGATACACTTTATGTGTAAAACATTATGATTACCTATGATTTACCAGCCTAGTGATTAAGTGAATTTGTGGTCGCTTTCATCAATTATAATCATAAAGGTTCAATTTTATAAGACCACAATATCGTAAGGGGTCATTTAGGTTTTCTGCTACAAAAATCAATTTTGGTTTTTGGTTGGTTTCTAAAGTGTATAAATTGGTTTTACGAGTCACCTAATATTATTTACATTAAAAATTAGGGTTTTATATATTTAGTACTTAAATTACCAACATACCACAATTTAAGTCTCACTGTATCGTATTCAAAATTGCTTTCCTTGTTCAGATTATTTCATTAGTAATTTTATCTTAAGCAAACATGGCTAATTCAAGATTTCTTTAAAAAAATGTTTAATAAATGTTGCAATATTTTCAAATTCAAATGATTAAAATTTTAAATAACCTTAAAAAGGAAGATAAAAACCAATTATGAAGGTAAGGTATAAAAAAATATTAAATCGAACTCAATTATTAACATATTTGTCTCCATCACCTGCAGATCATTATATATCACAATAATCAATAAAGAGAAAAATGTAGCGTACAATCAATAGTTTAACGACTATACAGAATCACATATGGTTGATGAAGCATAGGAAGATTGCAAGGGTATAGGTATTTTTGGTTTGAACAACAAACTATTTGCACTATTCAGGGTTTGATTAAAAAAAAGGGAAACGAGGTTTGATTAAATTAATACGAGTAGGTATTTGATTATTTAAAAAAAAAACACCTATGTATACAACCGAACAATAAACAATAAACAATAATGACCAATTTCTGCAGGTGT